ATTCATCCTAAAGTTCATACGGGATCCCAAGAGACCCCAAATAATCAAAACAATTTTGATAAACAGCAGAGTTGTTCACTAACTCTTCTTTATTTCAAAAAAATTATAAAATTACAGTATCAAAGTAGTGTCCTGTTGGCATAAGGACAGAAAAATGCACCAGTGAAATAGAATAGAGAGTTCAGAAATAAATTCTCAAATGATCTTCAAGAAGGGCACTAAGACCACTCGGTGGGAAAAGGACAAACTCTTCAGCAAGTGGTATTGGGAAAACTGAATATATTTATGCAAAAGAAAGAAGTTGGACCCTTATACAGTATATAAAAGTTATCTCAAAATGGATTAAAGACCTAAAACTATAACATTCTTAGGAAGAAACATAGGGCAAAAGCTTCATGACACTATAGTTGGCAGTGATCTTGGATATGATCCCAAAAGCAAAAATGCGACTACATCAAACTTAAACACATGCCTCAAGACACACAAAAGTGAAAAGGCAACCTATAGAATGGGAGAAGATACTTGCAAATCGTGTATCTGTAAGAGGTTAATATCCAGTCTACATAAAGAACTTCTATATCTAAAGATTAAATATCTGAATTAAAAAGGTAACAAAGTACTTGAGTAGATACTTATCTAAAGATAGTATACAAATGGTGATGACCATATAAAAACTTGTTCAACGTTCTAATCAGAAATGCAAACAGAAACTGCAGTCAGATATAATAACCTCACACCCATTAAGATGGCTCCAATCAAGAAAATAGAAAATAGCATTGGCGAGGATGTGGACAAATTGGAAACACTGTGCACTGTTAGAGAGATTTTAAAATAGTGCAATCGCTGTAGAAAATAGTATGGAGCATCAAAAAAAAAAGTAAAAATAGAACTGCCATATGATCCAGCAATCTTCTTTCTAGGTATATAGCAAAAAGTTGAAAGGATTTTCAATTGATATTTGCCCACCTATGTTCACATAGCACTTTTCACAATAGCCAAAATGTGGTCTCTGCATACAATGGAATATCATTCAGCTTTAAAAAAGAAGGAAATCCTGTGACATGCTATAAGGATGAACCTTTAGGACATTATGCTAAATTAAATAATCTAGTCACAAAAACAACAATACTATACGATTCCATTTATTTGAGGCTAAGTAATGTTAAATTCATATAAACAAAGTAGAATGGTGGTTACAAGGGTCTGAGATGGTGAGGGGAAAAGGAGTTGTTTAACGTATATAGTGTTTGAGTTTTCCAAGATGAAGTAGTTTCAGAGGTCTGTTTCAGAACAATGTTAACATACTATGTGAAACACTACTGAACTGTATGCTTAAAATTGTTAAGATGATAAACTCAATACAAAACTACAATGATCCAAAGTGTGTTACACTAGTAGAAAGCTAGACATCTGGATCAATGCAATAGAATCAAATATCTGAAAATAAACCCTTAGATTTATGGTCAGTTGATTTTCAGAAAGTGTTCCAAGACAATTTGGTGGGGGAAATAAATGGTGCTATAACAACTGAGTATCTAAATGTAAAAGAATGAAGCTGAATTTTTACTTCCTACCATATACAAAGATGAATTTGATATGGATCAAATATCTAAATGTAAGAACTAACACTGCAAAACGCTTAGAAAACATAGGAATAAATCTTTGTGATACTGGGTTAAACAATGATTTGTTAGATATGACACAAAATGCTCAAGTAACAAGAGAAAAAAATAGATCAGTTGGATTTCATCTAACTAAAATATTTTGTATTTCAAAGGACACCAAGAAAGTGAAAGAAATAAAGTGAAAAGGCACCCACAGATTGGAAGAAAATATTTATAAAATACATATCTGATAAGGAACTTATATCTAGAATAAAGTCCTACAGCTCAACAATAAAAATACAAATATCCCAATAAGTAAGGGGAATAGGATTTAAATAGGCATTCCTCTAATGAAGATATACAAATGGCTAATAAGCACATGAAAGGGTGCTGAGCATCATTAAGCATTGGTTATGTAGAAATCAAAACCACAGGTTACAAGTTAATATCTGTAACTGGCTAAAATAAAAAGGACAGATGTTTGGTGTTTGTGAAGTTGTAGAGAAACTGGAACCCTTATACACTGCTATTCAGAATGTAAAATGATATAGACAGTTCAGAGCATTAGTCTGGCAGTTCTTCAAGTGAATAAACCCAGTTACCATAGGACCCAATAATCCCACTCCAAAGTATTAATACATACCTAGGAGGAATGAAAACAAGTCCACACTGAAACTTGTACATGTATATTTATAGCAGCATTATTCATAACAACCAAAAAGTGGGAAAAGTCTGTTTATCAGCTTATGAATGGATAAAATTTGGTGTATCCACACAATGGAATGTTATTTAGCAATATAAAGACATTAAACACTGATTCATGCAACAACGTGGATGAATCTTGAACACATTATTAACGAAGCCATCCATAAAAGGCCACATTTTATATGATTGCATTTATATGAAATGTCCTGAGTAAGCAAATCCATATAAATAGAGAATAGTGGTTTCCAGGTGATCCCTAATAAGAATGGCAGGAAAGATTTAGGAAAGTGACTGTTGGTGGGTTCAGGATTTCTTTTGGGGGTGATGAGAATGTTCTGAATTTAGGTAGTAGGGATGGCTGCACAGTTTTATCAATGTACTACAAATCACTGTGAAGTATCTAGTTCCAAAGAGTGAATGTTATATGAAACTATATTTCAATAAAGTTGATATTTTAAAAATATTATAGTGAGTTGATACTTTTGCATCATTATATAACAAAATAAACACACTAATTTTAAGAGATTTTATTTTTTTCTTATATTTTAATCTGCTTTTACATAGATGTTGATTAATAACAAATAATTAAAAAACAGATAATGTTACAAGTATTTGAATTTTCCAGATCACATATCAAAAATATTTTTGGTGATTATCTAATAATTAGATCCTCCTGTAATATTGTTAAAAGCAAAAAATTGGAAAGTACCTCACTTGGAAAAGAATTTATTACTTAGCCATTTTTCATTCATCTTCTGAAATCCTTGAATCATATTCAGAAAAGCCTTTCTAAGTGATTTCATAATGACTATTGATTACACTTATTGCTTTTTACCTTGAAGCACCTTGTTTGACCTGATACACTTGAAAAGGATTAGGAAAATAGAATTGTTGTCTTTTTCAATATACTTCTGCAAAACAGTATTTTTCATTAAAGTTTCTGTGCCTTATATAATATTTATCAAAACTTTGGAACTTCAGATATAATTGATTTAACTTATGGGAAATATCAAATGAGTTAGTTGGCAAGGCCAGTTCTCACTGTCAAACCATTTCTTCAATCTTTCATATAAAATCTGCTATGCCCTCTTTGCTGATGCAAGAGGCAAATTTTCTAAGAAAAAAATTTTGTGCTTTCACTGTAAATATTTACATAGCTTGGGTAGGATAAACTATTTCATTTTGTAAAATAGGAGAAGGGCAGCCCTAAAGGGAGGGGAAAAGTGAATCATCCTAAGACATACAAAGCTATGTTCTCAGGCAAATCTGTGCTTTTGAAGTTGAGGTTCTGTACACGTATTCCCTTAAGTCTATCCTGAACTCCACATCCTTGAAGTCTTTATCTCCAGGAGTATGCTGTCTCATTTTAATGCTGCTCTTCTACCTACACTTAGTCTTTCATGAATGAATAAAATGGCCCTGAAAAGCATTCGTTTATTTGCAAGAATATTGTGTACACGTGTGTTAATATGTTGGTATGCTTTCTATTCACTTGGACCACCTTTTGCCAAAGATGGCATACCTGTGCCACTTGCTGTGTTCTACCCCCCTCTCCTACACTTGTGACAGATTTATCTTGGTGTCCATCTTGAATCTCAGAATCCTTCACAAGTGGCAGCTTTTACTAGTTGATTCAGCTGGAATAGGAGATCATTCTCTGTGATAGTAATTGTATTAGTTTTCCTAGCCTATCTGTATCTTTTTTTATAGTTTAGATTTTCCAATTACATTTTGTTCATTAATGTGATTTCCTTTGGCTAAACTTTATTATCCTTAAATTAGTTTGGAAACATATGCTGGGAGATAATTCTCTATGGGTCTCTCACTTTTCTGTACATTTTTTGAAATGAGGCTTTGGTTGCCTGTGTTCTTGTCTATCCAAGGTTATTTCTATATATAGTGAGCAGCTTTGGAAGATAGAGACTTCAGAATGATGGTCAGATTTGTTTATCACCTTGGAGGAGGTGTAGAGCTAGTCTCTCTCTCTCTCTCTAGCAAGAGATGTAGACATACTTACTGCCCATTATCAAAGATTTCTGCTCCTGAAGTGCAGGGTTTCTCTCCTATAATGCAACCCATGCATATGCCAAGTGGCATCTGGCCCTATTCAAGTTGCTGTGTGAGAAGTGGGGCTCAGGGAACTAGAGCAAGATAATGTCAATACTCTGGCCATTGCTGTTATTGTGAGTAATAAATACCTGTGCCTCTCAGCCAGGCATCTTATTTCCTCTGCCAGCATCTGTCAGACTGTGACAGGCTAACTTGTTAGCTTGAAAGTAGGGTAAATCTCAGATCTGTCACATATCTTGACAGTATGTAGGAAATACAAATAAACACATAAACAACTATCTAAGTTCAGCTCAGAAATGTCACTTTTACCTGTGTTTTTTGTTAAAAACTATATTATGTATTTATATAAATGTAGCATAGGTTTTTCATAGTTTTTCCTTTGTTAACGTAAGTGCTTGATATAATTTTGCTATTTATATTTAATCAGAATTTCAAAAGCATAGTAATCCATCTGTTTTTATGCATTAAAATTGTATTATATGTATATATGTGTGTTTATGTATGCACGTATGGTCATGTTTGCAAAAACAAATTTTTTCTCTGCTTAATTGCATATTTAAGAATTAATCCTAATTCCATAAATGTCATTATGATATATTCTTTGCTCCTGTTCTGTTCCAGAATATTGGAAAGAAGATGACCTGCCAAGAGTTCATTGCAAATCTCCAAGGGGTAAATGGGGGTGTTACGTTCTCCAAGGATCTGCTGAAAGTAAGCCTTGAACTATTGTTTTTTAATATAGGCTGATGTTTATATTTACTGCTCACATCTTAATCCAAAATAGACTAAGGACCACTGAAGTGTTTTGCTTTTAGCTTTTGGTCTTAGTGGTGATGTTTCTGTTGAGCCTTGTCCTGGATGCTTCATTCTGCAAAGTACCCTTAAATTAATAATTTCTAAGAATCTGTGTTGTAATTAATAATACTGAGATAATAATTATTTGGAGTGGTTAGCAGTACAAATAATCAGTGGGCAGTTTTTGTTTGATTTATTTGTAAGTAGACCATCAGAACTTGAGAAAGGTCACAAAGGTATATTCACCATGGAAACAAAAAAGCATTTGCAGGCTGCAATGGAAGCAGTTCTGACTGTATTCAATCCCTAGTCACAGAGCCACTCAGGTTGTCTCTGGAAATAGATTCAGTTAAATTCTGAGTAATTGTAGAATGCCTGAATTATTTCCACTTGGCTTTATTATTGGTAACAGTAAGCATGTTTTTCCCCATCATATTGGTTTGAAATCAACAAAATCACTTTGAAATTGATATATTTTATAGCATTAAAAATGAGATATGCATTTGATCAAATACAAAATAATGATAGTGACTATGAATATTACAGAAGTTGTAGGGTAGGGTGTGTATATTGAGAATGTGAGTTTTACAGATTTCGATTTGATTCTAGCCTTCTTTTTAGAACAGTACACATTACAGGTGTCTCTTGGAATCAGGTGTGTGAATGAATTCGCTTAGAAATGGGACACATTTGAATCATGCTGTAATATGGAAATGCGCCAATTGAAAGATAAGTCCTTTATTATGTTTCATGCAACTTTTAAACTGTATGGAGTTCTGCCAGATTTGGAAAGACGTGTGTACTATGGAAAATGAAAGAAGGCATTAAGATATGTTATTATCACATTCTTAGTCTTACTGACTTTATTTGCAGCTCATTAAAAAAAAATTACGAAAACAGAAAGTAAGTTTCAATTTACTATGTAAAGGAGGTATATTTTTAGATTGTTTCATTATAGAGCAAATGCTGCCGTTTCTGAAGCTATAATTCCCAATGGGAATGGGAGATAAAAAGGTGCAGGATTGTGGCATGATAAATATGTTATGTATATTCCATTGAAGCTACGTAGCGTTAAAAAGTCTCTTTTCAGTCTAGTGGTATTTGCACAGAAAGTCATGGTGTCTCTCCAAGACAGGATTTGCAAGGCTTTTATCACTTAAGTCAGAAAAGAAAATTGACAGGAAAATTTTCATAGTGAAGCTTTTAGATTCTAGTGGTAGGCTTATGGTAACCTGCATGCCTGTGGGTAAATTATTGGGTAGATTTCGAGCAGGTTGGAAGGAGCTGTCTGAACCCAAGCGTAGTTAATATACAGTCCAGTGGCTACTGTTCATTTTGGGTAAACATACGTTCTTTGACTTACTGCTGAGAATTTGCCAGATGATCTGCTGCAGTCATACAATTGAGATCATGTTTATAATCCTCGGGTGAAAATATGTATTAGTCTTTATTTACTGTGGGAAGATAACGGTGAGATGACACTGAAAATGATGGTGGTGTTTAGCATGGAAATTGTCAAGTAAAATATTCATTCCCTTTCCTAACAAACCTCAGCTTCTCACCCACCCAAGATGAGAGTTTGCCATTTCAGTAGGAATGGTTTTTATTGTAAATTTCAACCAAAAAAAAAGGTTTCTTTAAGCCTTTTTTGTTTCATTTCACTATTCTGTGTGCTGTTCCTTTTCCCTTCCCTTTCCTCCCCCCTTTCTCTTCCCTCCCTTTCTTCCTGTTTCTCCTTATTTCTTTTCATTCTTTCCTCTTTGTCTTTCCATTTCTCTTATGATAGCTCTCTGTGGATTCCCTGCTGAGATAAATTATTGGGTGGAATCTCTTCTGTTTGAGTACTGGGGGAAATATATGTATGCCCCACAGATAGATACATACAACACAAAAAAAGCTTGGTATCATCTTTCAGGTTTCTGAGAAACCCCATCCTCTTTCTCTCCAATTACAAAATTATAGGCATATATGACATTCAGATTATTTTATGAGATATGAGGGGAGATTATGACCTTTCTTAGGTTTCTTCATAAAAATATAAAGAAAGATTTGATATCAAAAAAGTTTAAAGTTACATTGATTGAACTGAGGCTTTTATTGTTATATATTGACCTTCTTTTAGTTTACTTTGGATGAAAAGTAACATTCGGATTTATGTGTGTTCAGAGTTCTTCTGCCCAGAAATAACATTTGGACTTATGTCTCTTGTTCAGTGTGTTTGCATAGTTTGGAACACTTATTAAAGGTCTACTGTGTGTTCACCAGGTGTTGTGGGACTTGGAGAAGATGCTGGTACCAAATGGGCACCTATCCTCAGAGACCACAAGCTACTGAGAAACATGGAGGGTTCTTTCTCCCTTAAAATGGAAAGTTATTCCATATTAAAATAAAAGTACAAAGTGAATTCTGCTTTTTCTCAACAGAGCTGGTTAAGCAAAAATAGACCTCAGCATATTTAAATGTATGAGAAACTTGTCTCAAGCCTTTATTTCAAAGAATTTAATTAATATTTTGCCTCCAATTTGCCTTAGACCACACTGAAGGGACAAAGGATACATTGAGCCTTTTCTTACAATTTGCAATTCCACCACAGTTTCCATTGCTTACCTAAACAACCTGAACAGATATTTCAGTATTTTGGCAAATAAGAATTTATTTCCCCACAAGTTGCTTGGAGTATAAGTTATAGATATCTATAATAAAAAGTGAAGTAAGTTTGACACCAAAAGACAACAGTGATAGAATATTGTAGAAGGGTGGGAGGAGGTTCATATTTGAGATGGGACTTTGTAGTATCCCCTCTTCTGTCCACAAACATTCTCATACGTAACCCTCCTTAGTGCGTCACCAGATCAAGACAGTAATTCATTTAACAGAATATGCCAGACCATCTGGTGTGTTTCACATACGTATAGATAAAAACAAAATTTATTATCATCTTAAAGGTTTCTGAGTAACCCTATTTGCATGTCTCTACAGGGTCCACCCCTCCCTACTGTTGGATGTCATTTGCCTCCAACCATCGTTGTGGGTGGAGTGGAAAAGGGGAAAGGGAGGGGTTCTGTTATGTGTTCTGATATATTTAGTAAAACATTCCTAAGATTAATAAATATTAAAACTTTTAAGGATACAAATAGGGAGATGAGAATATATAGAATGTGGGTCACCTCTCAATTGCAGCTGAACTTTTTGAGATGGTCTAGTACAGTGATTGAGATTATGGAAGTGCAAACTATGCTAGCTGGGTTATGATACCAGCTCCTCTGTCTTCATAGCTAGGGGACAGTGAGCAAGTTTAAATATCTCTGAGTTTCTTCATCTGTAAAATGGGAGATTTTATTAGTACCCATCTCACCTAGTTGTTTTAATAAGTGAATGAGCTTTGGTATATATATAAGGACTTTAGAGTCCTAGCACGTAGCGAATGCTATGTGTTGGCAGTTCTTCACGTAGTCCAAAGTGGGGCTGGAATGGGACCCCATTCCTTCCTGCAAGTATTTGGGCTTAAGGTGTTTTGGGACCAACTGTAATTAGTGCCAGCAGTCAAGACCTCTCACTTCTGTCTCTTTTTAGCCTGCTACTTGCTAAGGACACGTATCCTCTACTCTTTGAAAGGAAATCATCTTTGAATTTGACCTGAAAATGAACCTTGGTTAACCTTACATTTTCCTTTTTACCTTGTCAATAGACTGTTTCTCCTGGGCCTATGCCCACATTTTTACATTTTATGTTTGATGTGGGTCTTTAGCAACTTCTCCCTTTGACATTGCAAGAGTGGAGGTACTCAGGTGGATTAGGTCTTAAAGTGGTCCTGGAACCTTAAAGAACCTTTAAGGAAGCAAACTAGTTCTTATCCTCTTGAGATCCCAAGATAATCCTGGGATGTTAATGGAGATGTGAATTATTCGAAATGACTAAATATTCCTGGGAAAAAGAAAGGTTGCTAGATATTGACTTGCTTTCCAGGTAGAGAGGCCTAGGTCTGAAGTATGAAGACCAATAATGGTGGTATTTCAGCTTTGTCTTGGGGCAGTTTTTATAGATTCTTGACTCTGCTTGCCTATCTGAGAACATTTTCTAGTCAGTCTCATGAGAGCCTAATACCCACTAGTGAAGTATTGGCTTGTTATCATGTGCATGTTTCTGAAGCTCTTTATAGAATAATCTTTGACAATTCACAATAGCACAGATATCGACCTAATAGCACAATAGCACAGAAATTGACCTAAGTGCCCATCAGCTGATGAATGGATAGAGAAAGTGTAGGTATATATATGCATAATGGAATACTATTCAGCCTTAAAAAAGAAGGAAATTCTGTCATTTGCAATGACATTTATGGACCTGGAGGACATTATACTAAATGAAATAAGCAAGGCACAGAAAGACAAATACTGGCATGCTCTCACTTACATGTGGAATCTGAAAAAGTAGAATTCAAAGAATCAGAGTAGAGTGGTGGTTACCGGGGTGGAGGAGGAGGGATGTTGACCAAAGGGGACAAAATTTTAGTTAGATAGTATGAATAAATTCTGGAGATATATTGGACTTCATGGTGATTATAGTTAATATTGTATACTTGAAAATTGCTAGGAGGTTAGATTTAATGTTCTCATGACAAAACAATAAGTGTGTGAGATGATGAATATGTTAATTAGCTTTAATCATTCCACAGTATATACATATCAAACAATACATTGTGTACCATAAAATACATAATTTTTGTCAATTAAAAAATTATAATTTTCTTGACTGTTCCATCTCATGCTCAAAATACAGCACCTTGCTCCTTTGCGTTTCAGTTCCCTAATCTTTATTTCTTCTGAGTTTCATCAGAAACCTCTATTCTTGGTTTTAACAGAATAGTCCAATCTTCAGTCCAATCTGGTTTCCATTTCTAACGCTGGTAGTTGATA